CACCATAATGTATTTTTGCCGCTGAACGAACATTTTTCTGCGGAAATGACACCTCATATGTCTTGGAAAAAAGAAATCTGGTTTTGAAAACTCTTGGAAAAGTTTTGGGGAAAAGAAAAACTCCTTCTTATTATGAACCCTGAATGGGGGCTTGGTGTGCAGCAAGGAGAGTGGGGAACGTGCACACAAACATGGCCGGGGTGACTGTGACAGGTGGTTTGACGAGACTTTTTCGTTTTTTCTTTCAGGTGACGAGGAAGTGGAGTACTGGACGAGAATGTTCAAGGACATCGCGGAGAAAAACAGCAAAAACAGACGTGGGGGTCGTAGCGGAGGTCGTGGTGGGCGTGGCGGGTACTCGAGGGGCGGACGTCGCAATAGGGGAGGACCTCAGGTATGTCCGTACGGCTCAGCTGTTTGGTGTGTGTGTGTGTGTGGTTTGGTTTGTGTGTGTGTGTGTGTGTGTGTTATTCCATTTTTGTCAGCACAAGCCTATTTGTTGATAATAAGAATTGTATTTATTTCTTTGTTCTGAAATCAAAGTGGGGGCTCTTATGGTCTAGAGGTTAGGGTGTTCACCTCCTCTCATTCAATAGGTCCTGGGTTCGAATCTGGATAGCGACAGAAACCTTTTGCTTTCACCTCCTTTCCTGCTCTCTAACGATGTTCTTTCATCTGCTTTGATCTCCACTTTCTGCCCACACCTTCTGACCTCCTTTACCCCCTCCTCTGGGCTCCCATGGGTCTCAATATTCCGTTAGTGGTTTCGTTACCGCCATTTCCTCCGCTAAACTCCTCTACCGCGAAAGCAGGCCAATCAGAGAGTTGCTGGGAGCGGGGCGACTGCCAGGCCCCGGGAATTTGAAAAGTATCGCCGAGACCCTGGAAGATACATAAAAGATCTCGATTCTCCTAAATGGTGTTGGGGGGGGGGGGGGGGGGGGCTTTTAAATACGTACATCACTACTTACTTACTGGCTCCCCATTTAGTCCCCTGTCCTTTATCTTCTCGCAAGTGTTTTTTCAGCCCTGCCTTTTGGCTTATCACCAGCCATTTTCTCCCCCTGCTCCTGACCTTTTGGTTCATCACAGGCCATAGGACATAAAATGTTTGGCTACACACTACTGCACCCTGCTAATCAAATTCATTTGGTTGGTCGGAGCCAGACAGATTTTTCATGGATGAGGCAAAAAGTATCACTTTTGGCTAGGCACAGTCCAGTTGAATTTGACTGTCCTTCAAAAATAAACATTTGTTTTTCAAGGATGCGAGTGGAGTCTGTCATATTGTGCCCAAGTCGTAGCTTTTGCCCTCTCCACAGAGGAAAGTCTGGCTATCCTCGACTCGCTTCACCCGAATCTGATTGGCAGTGGGCACTGGTTATTAGCCTACGACAACAGCGTTGCAGTTTGTCAGCTAATCTGTTTGTTTGTTTGTTGTTTTCAGGGCAAGAAAAGGAAAGAAGACCGTGACAGCGGTGGTGAGGATGATGGTGATGGTAAGTCTTTGGTGTGTCTCACTTTTAGGTCTTTAAAACAACTCAAGATATTTGAAAAATGAAAAAATCAGCCTGACCAGCATTGAATTTGCTACAAGAATAATGCTTGTACTTCAATGATAATAATAATATATAACATTTATATAGCGCATTTCCAAAAAAGTAGCTCAATGCGTTTTACATTGGTATACCCATTTTTCAAAACCTTTCTTACTACTTCCTTTCTTCTCACGCAATATATATTAATGCACACACACACACACACACACACACACACACACACACACACACACACACACTCACACACACTCACACACACAGACTAATTTCATCCAGACATAGGAAAAGAACAACTATAATGAAAAATAACGTTAAAAGCTTATGAAGGATGGGCTTGTAGGAACAGAAAATACCGTATCCAAAATGTCCGACAACTGGGACCGTTTTCCAAGCACACACACAGTATGATCCTTAAATTTTGGGTCTGCTCTCATGTGTCCCAGGGGTCCGAAAAAATCTATTTTTTCATCTTGTAGCTTATTGACACTTCTGTTAGGTATTTTGTACAACACTTGCTAGTGTAGTTTTCTCCTTCTTTCCTATCAATCTCAAACACATCAATGGATGGTTGGCAGGTGCTCTGATGTGGTTTACTCCTTCTTTCGTATCAAACTGTACTGTTCCAACATCTATCGTGACTTAATTTGTGTTGCAAGTACCACAAAACTTTTACTGAAGCAACAAACAAAAAAAAGAAAAAGTAAGTTGGTGTACTGTTCCAACATCTATCGTCCTTACTCCTTCTTTCCTATCAAACTGTACTGTTCCAACATCTATTGTCCTTACTCCTTCTTTCCTATCAAACTGTACTGTTCCAACATCTATCGTCCTTACTCCTTCTTTCGTATCAAACTGTACTGTTCCAACATCTATCGTACTTACTCCTTCTTTCCTATCAAACTGTACTGTTCCAACATCTATCGTCCTTTTCTCTCCTTTTTTGTTGTTGTGTTTGTTACTCTCTTGTAACACCTCTAATCTAATCTTCGTCACTTATATGACCTTATTGTGTTGCAAGTACCGTGAAACTCTTACTGAATCAAAAAATGAAAGTTGGATTGATTGGTTGCTTGTTATCTGATCATAGATGTCAAGTCCCTCCTTGTGAATGGTTGGCAGGTGCTCTGATGTGATTTACTCCTTCTTTCCTATCAAACATCTATCGTCCTTATCTCTCCTCCTTCTTTTTTGCGTTTGTTACTCTTTTGTAGCACCTCTAATCTTCGGCACTTATATGACCTTATTGTGTTTCAAGTGCCGTAAAACTCTTACTAAAACTGAAACAAATCCCTCCTTTTTTTGCTCGTCCCCAGAACCAGTACAGAAGGCAGCGAAGGTTGAGGGTTCGGACTGAGAGTGAGCGCGTGTCACGGAAATCGTCGTGTGTGGTGGGATGTCGAGTGATGAGGAAATGCTTGAGATGCATGAAGAGAAAGAATGATGGTCGGGTCAGGTGTAGCAACTCTTTGGGGAGTTGATCAATCACGTGTTGACCTGTCTGTTTGGGACTCCATTACAGTGAAACTTGTAGAACTCAGTGTGTGTCTGTAGCAAAGCTTTTTTAAACAAACTGTTGAAACTCCAAGAGGGCCACCCATTCGCGACCTCAGTGCTTTCTTGCGGCATCTCCATTTTTACCTTCTCGGGAGTATGGGCTACCACATAGGTAGGCTTTAGTGCTTTTACAGGTGTCCAGATTGGGTTGCCATCAACTGGGGAGAAATGGCAGGTAGTAAAAATGTTTTATTTCTCTTCTTGATAACTTACTTTTGTAGTTTAAGGAAGCTGCCAATAGTTAAATGGTCCTTGCTGCATGTTTCTGAGAGGTGGGAAATCTGTTTTGCGACAAAATTATCTTTCTACAAGTTTTCGTGTAATGGCTTCCTGTGAGAGATCATGCTGCCGGAGACTAAATGTGTTTGAGAACTGCCTGCTTTTATCGCAACGAGGAACAGCATCTAGTTTCACATTTGTTTGCTGTCTGGTAGAAAATTTGTCCTGTTTAAAAAAAACAATTTGAAAATTTTTTGACTGATTGGCAGTTGTTCTCAGCAGATGTGAAGATCAGGCTGTTTGTATATGTGAGGCAGGGTGGTGAGATCAGGCTCTCGTCAAAATAGTGAAAGTAAAAAAAAACTGGCATTTTTCCGCTGGGTTGGGAATTTTTTTTAAATTTTTGTTTTTTGCTCAACACCTTTCATGCCCATTAAAGAACACATTTCTGTGTGGAATTTACTGAAAACATTGATTAAAGGCATAAGAGATGTAATTTTCCAGTTTCCACGAACTCTCAAGCTTAGGAAATAACTCAGCTTTGGCGACCATTTTCTCACTAATTTTACCTCTGAAACCAGGTGACCTCCCACCTCCTTCAATAGCCAATGTCTTGACTTGTATCCAGGATAAAGGGATATTTTTTTCATCAAAAGCAAGGCAAATGGACAGGCTTTAAGATTATTCCAATAACTCCTTATGCCCGAAAATTGACAAGAGCCTGATGTCATCGCGTCGCGACACATTTTGTTTGCCGGTGCAGCGGGAATGTTCTCTGTGTATGTTTCGTTTGCATGTGTGGTGTGTGGCTCTGCGGCTCTGAATGTGTTGAAAGACGCGAGGTGGAATGAAAGCGGGCCTCTTGTGATGTGTGTAAGTTATGGTGTATGAGGCGTGCAGTGTGCTGAGAGCGATGCAAGAGGTTAGAAATGTTGTGGGCCCGGGACCTGAAGACTTGAAATTGTTTAAATCTTATTATTGTCGTTTGTGTATGTATGACAGTTGTTTTATTGGCCGTTGGGTTTTTAATCTGGTTTTACGACAGTTGGTTTTAGTCTGATTAGTCATCAAATGTTTCGTTTATTCATATTATTGTCCTTTGTGAAACGTGATGATTTTTCTGTACCCCATTTTGAATCATTTGGATCATCCATGTAATACAACATCTATGTTCTACTCATATATATGTGTGTGTTTCTGTCTTGCTTTCATAGTACACACAGTGAAACGTCTGACTGTTTTTACTGAAGTTTGTGACCCCATGCCTGAAGAATTGGAAGAGTACAAAAACAAAAAGTGCTTCGGAGTTTAAGAAGAGCGATTTGAGGATTTAAAAAAATGTCCTTTTCAGGAGAAAATCGAGCTTTGAATGAGACTTGGGGTTTCTCACTATGTTGATTTTTATTAACTTTTAATTTGAAATGTCATTACATATGCCTTATGGGTCGTAGAATGTCGTGGGGTCGTAGAATTATATTTGAACTTTTCCTTTTTCCTAACGTTTCTTTGGAATTTTTATAATGTTGCTTGACTTAAATTTTGTAATCTTTTTTTTACACCCCCATCCACACAATTCAGATCAAATAGGAGGAGTGGGTGCTTGGCGGGTGCTTTGGTGTGGTTTGCTCCTCCTTTCCTGTCAAACATCTGTCGTCCCTATCTTCCCTCCTTCTTTTTTGTGTATGTTACTCTCTTGCAAGCGGGCGGTTGGTGGGTGCTCTGGTGTGGTTTGCTCCTTTTTTCCTATCAAACATCTGTCATCCTTATCTACCCCTCCTTCTTTGTTGTGTATGTTAGTAAGTTACTCTCTTGTAACACGTAATCTATTCTTCGGCACTTGTATGACCATATTGTGTTGCAAGTGCCGTAAAACTCTTACTAAAACTAAAATAGGAGGAAGGCTTCAACCCTATATGTCAGGGCTAATCCAAGCAGATACTCTATGAAAATTCTCCCTTCTCAGGAATCGAACTCGGTTCTTCTGTGTGAGTTGACGAAGTGCCTGCTATACCACAGATGCCAGTGGTGTTGTGGATTGTGCTGTAACTGAGATTCGGTCATGTCTTTGTACAAAGAATAATGATCCATGTTTCATGGCCCCAGCAACACAATTTAGATCATTTCAGAGGTAGGCTGCGCGCTCATATGACCTTACGCAGTTGCGAGCGCTGTAAAACACTTACCCAAAAAAAAAAAGGTAGGCTGGGTCAACCCTGCTAGTCAAGGTCAGCCCAGGTTAAAGCGGGCCACATACACACTGGCAAACACACATACTCAGACGCACAAGCAACTGAATGAGCCTTGGCCTGTGTTTTTAAAAAAACCCTATGTACACGTGGCGGAGCGGTTAGTGCGCTCATCTCAGATGCAGAAAATCCAGGTTTGAGCCTCGGTTCGGACACGGATTTTTTTTGCCCACTCCTGCCCGCCGAGCAGAAATGGGTACCTGACTTCGAGTTGGGGAAGTAAAGACTGCGTGGAAAGGAACTGGCCACCCTACTACAATACGCCGAAGACCCAGGAAGTTGTCTCACTAACAAGGCAATCCCCAATGTCCGGATCAGATGCGGGAATAACTTTACTTTAGGTACATATACACACGAGTCACACCTTGGGATGTCCCTCTTTCGTCTGGTTACTTTACAGTACAGCCGGCACAGGGTGTAGCTTTTTTGTGTTTTTTTCACATGCAGAATTTTTATTAAATATCAAAACGGCTTGGTATTTAGATCTGGTATCAAATTCATGGTAAATTTGACGCTTATAAGGAATCTGAAGTCTAATATTCACGCCGTTCTTTTTTAATATGATTTTTAGAAGTCTTGCTACTTCACTCTACCCGGGGCTGATGGGATGGAAAAATATTTTTATGGAGCAGCCTCATTTACAATTTTTAACCCCCGCTGATCCTCATGAGGTCTTGGTCTCATACGCGGTGATTTCAGCCACGCATACAACAGTTTTTGATGGTTTTGGAAATTTGGAGGCTCATGTGATAGATTTTAAAAAAAAAGATATTTTTACGCCTCCATAAACGCAATTTTGGAGGTGGGCTTTGACCCTGCCTGATAGGCTGTCCCTGTTGTTTTATGCAAGAAAAATTCTGAAATTATGCAAACTGAGCCCAAAAATGTGAACATATGCAAACTGAGCCCAAAAATGTGAAATTATGCAAACTGAGCTAAAAAATGTGAACTTATGCAAACTGAGCCCAAAAATGTGAAATTATGCAAACAGCCCAAAACTGTGAACTTATGCAAACTGAGCCCAAAACTGTGAACTTATGCAAACTGAGCCCAAAAATGTGAAATTATGCAAACAGCCCAAAACTGTGAACTTATGCAAACTGAGCCCAAAACTGTGAACTTATGCGATTTTGTTGTTAATTTTATCAAAGAATGATAAAAAGGAAAATAATCAGAAATTGTGCAAAAAATGATCAAATTTTGGTAAATTATCAGG